CAGTCAGTCAGTCAGTCGTTCAGTCAGTCAGTCAGTCAAGCAGTCAGTCACCTCTTGCCGCCTATTTTCCCCACAACAACAACCCTGTGAGGTGGGTTGGGCTGAGAGAGGGGAACTGTCACCCAGCTGGCTTTCATGCCTAACGGAGGACTAGAACTCACAGTCTCCCGGTCTTCTTGAAATTTGGGTAGAGGTGCTTCTTGCTTGTTAATTGTATGTTTTTATTTTTGAAGTCATCCAATTTTAACAACATCAAAACTTCCCCTACCTGGACCCTCTGATTTTCATTGGAGGCCCTTCTCCAGGTGGTCCTACTCAACAAGGCAGGTTGGGGACCTTTTGATGGTGCCATTTCTCTGTAGAATCCCCCCCTCCCCCAAGAGTTATCTGAAGCTTCATTGGGTGCCCTGGTCATTTTCTTAGGCCTTTTGAAACCTTTTCCTGTTTTCAGGGGTGGGTTTTTCTCCCATTGGGTTTCCATTATGTAGCTGCTGGTTTTAGATTTCTACGCTGTTTTCCATGTTCTTTTTTTAGATTGCTTTGTCTTTCCTGTAATGCTATATGTTTATGGTATGTTTCTACTGAGTTATACATCACCAGGGAATGACCTGTGGCCATTGGGAAGTCTAGAACTGGAGTTGTTGGGAGTCAGGCAGTATATAAATTTAAATAATAGTAGTAATAATAATAATAATAGAAGCACAACAGAGAAAAACATCCCATAATATATCTATGGATGAATGCACGAAAGTACAAATTATTTTGAAAGAAAGCTATGAAGGGCTTTCTCTTGATTCCAAGGGCAACTTGGTGGGAGTTTAGTAGGGAGAAGAATATTTGCTTTCTGCTTTGTATGCAGAAGGATTAAACTTCTAGCATTCCCCATTAAAAGAATCAGATACCAAGTGATGAGAAAGATCCTTCAGTGTCTGAAATACCTAAGATTCTGGCACCGGTCAGAGTAGACCAATATTATTCTGGCTGGTACAAGTTTAAGTCTGGCCTGCATGGACTAGAAATAGGAAGTATCTTTGTATTTTAACTTTCTTGTTTACTCTCTTCCCTTAATTCCTTGTTTTTGCTGCCATTTATTCTTGGGGAAGAATTTGATGAATGCATAGCTCTGCCATTTGCTGGTTTTGGTATCCCATACAGCACTGGACATGGTAGCAACCGTCCAAGCTATCTGGAGCCGTGAAAGGTCCTTCTCTGCCTGTCTGTCCATGATTCTTTCAACCTGGAAAACTCAGCTACTGCCTGGTTTGTAGCGAGAAAACTGGCTGCAAGTAACTCCCATCACCCTAGTCCAGTGTTTTTCAAACTTGGCAACTTTAAGTTGTGTGGACTTCAACTCCCAGAACTCCCCAGCCAGCTTTGTAATCTCCCAACAACTGTGGGATTTGAAGACCACACATCTTAAAGTCACCAAGGTTGAGAAACGCTGTCCTAGTCCGTCTCTCTTGCTTTGGACACCATTTATTGTTTAATAGTTTCCCAGTTGGGCAAATAAACTGGAGGAAGGGACATTATCTTCCTCCTGGGACACCACTGTTCTCTCACCCCCAAGCTGTTGGGGTGTTCTAATTGAGTTAGAAGCCTCCAGAGAGTTATCAGTCCACTCCTCCCCCAAGTGTGGAGACTTGTCAGGGGGCAGGGAATCCAGTTCTCTGATGGTGGCACCAGAGCACTGAATTACTGTGAGTACTTGCTAGAGTAGGAGTATGTATATCCCGTCAAATAAAAAAGTTAACAGAATTGAAAAGATGCAATATATTGTCCCTCCAGAGGAAGACTCCTCTTCAGAGTTCCAGGTGTCAAGCTGTGTTTCACCTATTGACTTTTTTGCCTCTTCCGTGCTTCTTCCATGTTCCCTTTAGAAAGAACCATTAGCATTCCAAGAATTCTGAACATGCTTTGCCTGGTGGTTTAATCTGGCTTTGGGGTCAAGGTGTAGAGGAGAAATAGTTCATGGGTGGTGTTGGTTGGGATTCCTACAAAATTAGCATCAGCAGTCAAAGCTCTTATCTCACATTTGAACAGCTGCAATTATGGGGCTACCCTTGAAGATAGTCTAGAACAGTATTTCTCAGCCTTAGCAACTGTAAGATGTGTGGACTTCAACTCCATGGCTGGCTGGGGAATTCTGAGAGTTGAAGTCCATACATCTTAGAGTTGCCAAGGTTGAGAAACACTGGTCTAGAAGTTGCAGTTGATTTACTGCTGATTGGTTAAATAGGGCAGCTAGCTCTGATCGTAAAAGTGAACTCAGCCCAGTTGAAGTTGATGACATCAGTCTATAAATCTGTAAATGGCTTAAGAGTGAAAAAATGGCTTCCTTCAGTAATATCCAATCCTTGTAAGAAGATCAACTGGGGAGACTCTGCTCAGGATCCACAGATTGGTGTGACCTACAGTGCAGTAGCCAGGAATAGGGCCCTCTTGGTGGGAGCACCCAAATTCTGGAACTTTACTCCAAAGAAAATACAGATGTCACACCATCCTGCCCCCACACACCCCAGCTCTCTTCTTTTAGACAACAACTGAAAATGTGCCTGTCCTTTCAGACATTTGTTGGGAGACAACGATTCCAGGATCTGTCATCTTTGAGATTGCTCATTATATAACCTTTATTCTTTAAAAGAAATCTTGCCTTAACCTCTGAATGTTCCTTTTTAACAGAATTGTTGGTTTATTGTTGATGGATTATTTCAGATTGTTTTTTTTTAAATCCCTTTGTAAACCACTGTGGTTTACTGAAAGGAACAGTGCTATAGAATTACAGTGAGTAACAACAACAACAACAGAATGAGGATAATATTTCCTGCTTGATTCTGAGGTTTGATCCAGCCCAGATGGCACTCAACACTTGCTATGAGGAATAATCATTTCCAGTTCCTTAATAGAAGATAAGGCTTTTCAACTATAGGTTTCCTGCTGCTCTGGGTTACTATTCAGAGAGAAACAGCTGCATCACATGCATTTTTTTCTCACTTCCTATATTTTATTAAAAGTATTTTAAAGCCAGCGGCTGCTGAGACAAAATTAATGTTTTATAGAGAGTCTAATTTAAAGAGAGGCCCTCCCTTATCTCCACCTCTGATTCTGGGAGCATCCGTAATGGACCTCCCACCTCACCTGTTGCCATTCTGCTACTCACATGTCTGACATTTTTATTTTTTTATTCCATTTCAGTCCCAAACTCAGGTAGAAGAGGAGGAGGAGGGTGATGATGATGAAACAGAGGAGCTGGGTCACACAGAGACGTATGCCGATTACATCCCTTCGAAGTGTGAGTGGGGCAAAATTCTGGCCATCTTCTCATGCAGAATTAATAGATCTGATCCCAAGCATTTTCTTGTACATGTAACCCAGCCTTCCCCAACTTGGTGTTCCCAGATCTATTGGACTGCAGTTCCCAGAATTCTTAAGCAGCAAAGCCTTGGCAATTCTGGGAAGGGAAATTTAATCCTTCTAGAGGGAACCAGTGGAAGGCTGGGGTAATATCATGCCATTCAACTTCCTGACTCTGCAAATGCTTGTAGCCTTAACTGTGTGGGTGGGACAGAATGGGGTAGGTTGAGTGAGTAGGAAATTCCCCAGAACTCCTTACAACCAAATCACCGAATCACTCTCAGCATATCTGTAAACAGCATAACCACAAGTTCTTCCTGGACTTCAACATTATAGTAGCATAACAAAGGACAGTGGAACCAGTGACCCAGGTCATGACCTCCTGTTCAGGGGCTTTGTCCAAGGAGAGGCTAGATAGCATTTGACTGGATTTAGATTCCTGCACTGAGCAGAGAGTTCAACTTGATGGCTGCAGTGATTCCTTTCCAACTGTAGGACTTGGTGATCCAGGGAAGCAGCCTTTGGGTCAAGGAGAGGCCCCCATCTCATTCCATCCCACGTGATTGCCTTTGACTAGATTCACATGTTGGGCATGGCTGGCTGAGGAATGCTGGGAGTTGAAGTCCATACATCTTGAAGTTCCCAAGGTTGGAAAACACTGAGTTCAGGGGAAGCATTGATGGCGCTTGGAGAACTGAAGGCTCAGAATTGGGCAGTTAACAACAGCCAAAGACGGAAAGATTGATGGGAAGGTACAGGCAATTGTAGCGAGAGACCTGCTGCCTCCCACATACCAGAACCATCTTTTAGGTATCATAAATACTGGAGTAATTTCCTTTAGGTATGAAATTCATTAGACTGCAGATTGCTTTTAGCCTGTTCTATTTTACCACTTCACCGGTTCCATAGGTACTTCATTTGGATCACATAATTCTTATGAGTTGCTCATATCAACAGACATGGTTGTCCTCCATCCCCTGTTGAACGAAACCTGGCTAAGGCCCCCAAATCTCCACTCAAGTGGGGCTTTAATCGGAGCATTGGCTCGTTTGGGTTTCATACAGCCTTTTATCCTTGCAAAGAACTTAAGTTTCTCCAAAGAAGCTGAGTAACGTTCCAACAGCTGACAGCTGTCTTTTTGCTTCAACTTACAGCGAAAATTGGGAAGCAGCACCCTGATCGAGTGGTTGAAACAAGTACTCTTTCCAGCGTCCCCCCTCCAAACATCACCTACGTCCTCTCTCTCCCTGATTCGATTGCTGAAAACGGGTTGCTCTCTGCATTGCAGCTGGAAGCTATAATTTATGCCTGCCAGGTACACACGAAGTGGGTTTGGGCAGTTCTGATAAAATCTAGCGGTAGAAAGGAGGAATTGGTGGGAAAAACATGGCTAAGATCGGGAATAAGCTTCAGAGCTGCTGAAAGTTGCTATTGCATTCTCCCAGCATGCCTGAGCAGAGAAGAAAGGAGATCTGAACCATGATCTCCAGGATGATGGTGGTCAAATCATACCTCAGCCAGAAAGTTACTAAGGAGTAATAACTGATTCAGGTTGGAATCTTCTGGACAACTCCAGAATGTTCCACTCACCCTCCAGAAAATTCCAAACTTCCTCTGGGCCATGCCATGGAGAAATGCTTTGCTGGTTTTTTGAAGTAAACCCTTCAAATTGGAAGGTGTTTGAGTTTGAGGAGTTCAGAGTGGGGGCCGGGGGGTCCAGCTCTGAAACAGGCTTGTTTTGTCCAGAACATTACAGTATATCTAGGACACCTCAAACCACTTCTGGTTTGCAGGATTTACTCTCCGAAACCACCATAGCCCTGGAGGGGTTTGACCCTGAGGAGGTTAGGTACAGACCAGAGGGGAACAAAACATTCGGGTGTTTTCTGGAATGTTCCAATCCATATCAGCAAGTCTGCATATCTCTACTGCTTGGTAATGTTGAGACTGAGGTGTGATTTAACCTGCATCTTCCTGGAGATCATGGCTCAGTTTTCTCTGTTCTCTGTTAGGAATCATGCAATCAGTAGAAACTTTGGACCTATAATAATAATACTTTAGGAGATTTTTTCTAGGTAGAGATAGCTAGGTTGGAGGTACCCGAAACAGAACATCTCCAGAAGATGCAGTTCCCTTTTGGGGTGGGCTGACTCCTTCCTTGGTTGGTTTTAGAGCAGTGTTAAAAGCTGTTTGATTCCCCTGGACTTTTAAAGCTGCAGTATTAGTTAACTACTCTAGTTTTATGTATACAAAACCATTTTTATTGCATGATTTGTTCCCCGTGTTTCTTGATTTGGCAGTAAGTTTTTATTGATATTTTTACCGTATCTTGTCCTAGGCTGTTTGTATTATTAGCAAATCTCTCTCGTTCATGCGTGTGAACACGCTCAGCCTCTCTCCCAGAGATTAGACAACCCATTTAGTGCACCTTCTTCCCTTGATTCTTCCACCTGATTCCCTTCTGCTGGTTTTTCAGGAACACGAAAGCTTGCTTCCAAACGGGCAGCGAGCCGGCTTCCTGATTGGAGATGGTGCTGGCGTGGGGAAAGGGCGGACGGTTGCAGGGATCATCTATGAAAATTATCTGAAGGGAAGGAAAAAAGCTCTGTGGTGAGTGATCGCATCTCTGCGTTCTGTTTTAAAGCTCTCATACGTGGAATTTAAATCCCTTCTGGGCTCTGTATTTCTTTCCCACCTTCGAGGCTCCTGAAGGCTGTGTCCCAACTGTGTTCAGGAATAGGGCAAGGAATTTGAATAGTCGTTCTATGATAATATATACTGTATCTTAGATAGAGAGATAGAGAGAGAGACAGACAGACCGGCCGGCCGGCCTAATGGGGAAGGCTCCAGGCTAGAAGGCAGGAGATGGTGAGTCCTAGTCCCGCCTTAGTCATGAAAGCCGGCTGGGTGACTCTGGGCCAGTCCTTCTCTCTCAGCCCAGCCCACCTCACAGGGTTGTTGTGGTGGGGAAAATAGGAAGAGGACGGAGTATTAGGGTATGTCTGCCGCCTTGGGTTATTTATAAAAATAATAAAGGCGGGGTAAAAAAAAAATTTTAAAAAAAAATTAAAATAAAACATTTGGAAATTA